TGTGAGGAGTAGGTGCTGCCAGTTGGTAAAGAAAGGCTGGCATTGTGATTAGTGTTGTTTTCCAAAGGAGGAAAAGAGATTTTTAATTTTGAATGCTGTGCCTGAAGTTGCGTTTTGCAAAAAGAGGGATGTAGAAACTGAGTGTAACTCTGGTATGGAGGAATATAGTATATAAAATATAAGAAAATGTAACAATAACAAAACAAGAGTAGAGAACAAACTATCAAAAATGATCAATTATAAGTCTGTATATATATGTATTGAAGTAATACACAAACTGAAACTATAGACAGTAAAAGACTATGGGAAGTAGAAAGGGAATAGATAGGGGGAGTAGGGAGCAGAGGAATAGAAGAGAGGAAAATAAGACGAGAGTCAAAACAAGGAAAAGGAGAAGAGCAGGGAGAGAGAGAGGAGAGGAGGAGTGATGGGTGATCTGTAGTGAATAAACTGGAGCAGGACACTGTGGGAGTGCAGGACTCTTTAGTATGCTGCTCCGCACTCACAGTCACACTCAGACAGACACAGCTTTTTCTACATTGACACTTACACAGTTTACAGTGAGATATTCAGCTTTACATACATTGATATCTATGTCTATGTTTCTACTGCAGTTAGCGCGCTAACCAGCTCGCCCCGGCCTGTCTCGTCACTGCGCTGAAGACGTAGCGCTGCTCTGACGGTGTATTATAACCTCCTGTCTTGTAAACACAGTGATGGTGAAGCTCTTGTCAAGCGACAGTCGCCACCACCCGCTTTCAGAGGCAGAGAAAACTTACAAAGAGCCCCTTTTCAAATAGACTGCAGCTGACTTTTTAATGATTGTAGTTGGCTCGTTTGAAAATTAGACCGGTTTAACTAAAGCTAACAGTTATGGCTTATATTGTTTCTTACTCTTGGTAGTAAATTAGAAAGCCAGACATGCTCGTGTTAGTGTAGATAAACACTCTGTTATTACTTAAACATCTACTCCTCTGTCTTTGGTTAGCTACAGATGCTAAGCTATGATTAGACAGTAGCTTTTCAGAGGAGGGAGGGGCTTAGCAGATGACCAGCAGTGTTGCAAGGAGCACCCTGGTTATGGAAGGAAAAGTCTCATTCATTTTTCCCATAGGAAAAGTACATTTTTCACAGTTGGAGCACTTCTACAGGTTGGATGACACTCTGTCAGTTCAATCATCAGTCCACATGATCAATAAAAGTCAAAGATACAAGTTTTTGGGGTGAAGTTAACCACAGCTCCCAAGGTACATTTTCAGAAAGAAACATCCAGGCACTGAGTTTAAAATTCTGTCACGTGAGCCACAAAAGCTAAAGATTACGGTGTTCAGAGACCTGACAAGAGACAACAACAAAGCATTTTGAAATCCCTACCAATATGATTCACACCTCTGACTGGATTCTTCTTTGTAGCAACGATGGCCGAGGCTCATGGGTATTGTAGTGTTTGGAACCTGTCCGCCATGCCAAAATAAAATAGAAAATTTCACAGAAATGCAGTTGAGATACTTTCGTGGGGGCCGTGACATAAACCTGTAGGGTTGTTACCTTATCGGGATGAGCCCTAGGTTTCTTTTTTAAGAACATTAGAGAAACTGAAAGGAAAATTTAAATGGAAATACAAAATGGGCAAAACACCTCTGGCACCAGCGGCCCCTTCCACTTCTGCAATTCTATTACAACCAGAGATAACCTGCATATTGCTGTTTAAGTCGCTGTTTTTGTGTCCCGGTGTCCTTGTGTCTGTTTGTTTGTCTCCGTGCACCTGTAATCTGCTTCTTCTTATCTGGCTGGTTCCCTCTCCTTCCATCCATCTTTCTGTTAGCGTGTGTTTTATGATGGGTGATGTATGTATTTGTTTGTTCGTCTCTCTGCCCTTGCTGCTGTCTCATTGTAAGTCACCAGCATCAGCCAAACACCTTTGATATAAATGTATCTGCCTGTCACTGTCTCTGTTTTCAATTCAATAATTTGCACATTCTGTCTCAATCTTTCAGGCTGTCCACGTGTATCATATATATATATGTGTGTGTGTGTGTGTGTGTGTGTGTGTGTATGTATGTATGTATTATATATATTCCCGTTCTTGGGTTCCTGTTGTAATGCTGGTACACAACCACTGTAATCCCCACTCAGCTTTTACCCTTCAAATCTAAATCTACATTTCAGTTTGCAGATGATTTAGATGAAACACATCATGAAGAACCGACACATCTACATGACATGACTTCTTATATATAAAGATGGAAGAGGTTTCATTTCATTTCACTTGGAATAGACAGGGTTCAGATGATATAGATTGGAAAACTATACTCAGCAAATTTTGCTCTGTCAGGAATGTAGACAAGAAAATATGATATTGATTTCACAGGTGCGGACTATCGCCTGGGTTGGAGCATTATTCAGCCTTTTTAATGATGATGAATAGCAGCAGCTCCTGCTCCCTCCAGCTGGGGTCAAGGAAACCCTGGGTCCAGGGGAGTAAAGGAAAATGAGGATAGGTTTAATTATTAATGACTGCATTATCATTCACTAGAAGGTTGCACTCAAAACAATGACTTCACTTCACTTTTATCTCCCCAACCAAAAGCAGAGTAACAACTTTGGTTTAATCACCAGAAAGTTAGAAATCCCCACCTCCTACTAGAGAAAATTAAAGCTAACAGCCCCTCAGGTATAAATTCAAAGTAAAGTTGAGCCTGAGGACGTTCTCTGATAGTATAACACTGCTGGTTTTCTGTCAGCAAAAATACACTTGTTTAATAAAAGTTTAAAAGTATATTTCAACATTTCAGGAAATACCCTTGTTCACTCTCTTGCCAGAGCTTCGATAAGAAGATCTTGGCCACTCTCATGTCTGTAAGGTTAACATGTAGCTGGAGCCAGTAGCCGGTTAGCTTAGCTAGCCTGGCCCCAGATAATGCATATTCATTACCTCTCTACTCAGTGTGAAGTTATGGAAAAACAAACTGCCTTCATCCAAATTGTGGCTTTAGGTTTTTTTTAAGAATTACTATGTTCATGTTTTTCAAATTAGCAGAGCTGTATTAAAGAGATTCCCAACACTGATGAGGTTATAGAAAGGATGATTTTGCCCACATGTAAGGACACAGATATTGAAAGGCAAAGGTAAATTCCATGTTTTCAATGGAGATGTGACAGTCCTGTTACAACAACATCACTGCACAATACATCATCAAAGACACAGGGCGTGAATTGCAATTTAACATGTATGTGCATTTACTTTTTAGGCAATGGAAGTTATTTGCCAGTCTTAAGGCATGCTTACTGTACAGCCTGAGGCTATTCAACAATTTTGGCATCATATTATTGCATATAGATACTTAACGTAGATCAGGTTCTCAAAGTGGGGTCCTGAGACGCCCTGGGGTCCTTGAGGAGGTTCCTATCACTATAACTCCATCTATAAGTAACACAATGACATTAATCCAGCCTTCGTGAATGTTGTGATGTTCAGTTTTTGTTGAAACTGTTTAAGAAAGGTGCTTATTCAACTGTATGATCATTTTGGAGGATGTAGTTTGTGTTGTTGAATTATACTGAGTTAAAATAATAAGTTTATAATATTTAGTTTACCCTCATTGATATAAGCATGGTGGACAACAGGGCTGAACAATTAATCAAATTATTACTGAAATTGCAAGTGAGCTGCAGTTTTTTTGATAAAGATAAAATGTGTAACAACATTTTCATTATAAATGAAGCAATGAACCGGTGCTAAACAGATGCCCCCCACAAATCATATTCTCCCATGCAAGGGAACAAGACCCCAACAAAAAAATCACATCAGCATTTTTTTTTCCAGGGAAAATGAAATGCAAAAATGACCATCGCCTCCTAAAAATATCAGTCAAATAATTGCAATATGATTTTTTTTTTGCATGTCGTTCAGCCTCAGTGCACAAGATATTAGAAACATTTCTCTGTGTACTGCATTACAACTCAACAGCAACCTCCAAAATGACCATGAGACTGAATCAACACCTTAAAAACAGTGCGAACAAAAACTGCTACTATAACCTTCATGAAGGTTGCATTTATTACATTAGTGTTGGGTTAATTTTAGCTAGATGTACCCAATAAACTGGCAGCTGAGTGTATTTTTACTGTTACACATAAAGCTTATATATATATTTGAACAACACCAAAGAACAAGCACTGTACCTAGGTTTCATTATTTCCAATCCAACACACATGATGTCTGATTTTATCTGTTCATTGGCCTCCAGTATAAAACTGGACAGGAGCAGCTGCCTCATTCAGTGCTCCTTTGTCTCTGTATGTGAACTTACTTGCCACCTCAAACAGCAAATACCTAGAGAGAGGAGTCAGAGAGATGAGGAAGACGACACATGTCAGTGTTGATATGGGTCAGAGAGAAAGTGTGTGTGTGTGTGTGTGTGTGTGTGTGTGTGTGTGTGTGTGTGTGTGTGTGTGTGTGTGTGTGTGTGTGTCGTCAGGTGATGTGATGCTTTCCTCTTCTTACACTGTATCTCATGCTTATCCATCAAGGCCTGACATATCAATCTCATCTACTCAGCGTGCAGCCTCTAGCCTCACACACACGCACACACGCACACACACACACACACACACACACACATCCTTTACATAATATAATACCTATTTTTTATCTCATCTTCCACCATCCCATCGCTCCTCTGATCTCTTTTTCAGATATGCCGTAGATATGCATCAGATGTTTGGTCCTAATCCTCTGATATTAAATGTGTTTGTCATGCTAAGCTTTGCCTTTACCACACAACATGCGTGTGTGTTTATTTACTTGTGTGTGTGGTCTAGTTTTCACAAACAACAACAACGCTGCAGGTCTCATTCAGAAAACATAGAAAGAAAGGAAAAAAGGTGTAATTCACAAACGTAACCACAGTTTGTGTGTGTGTGTGTGTGTGTGTGTGTGTGTGTGTGTGTGTGTGTGTGTGTGTGTGTGTGTGTGTGTGTGTACACGTGTACTATAG